GACTAGGCGGCCAGTGCTCGGGGCCCCATGGCGTCACCCCCAGCCCGGCTCCTCCTGGCGCCACGACCCGGGGAGACCCAGTCTGGCTGCGGGAGGCCTGGGGCTGTGAAGTTTGCGGACGTGGCCGTGTACTTCTCCCCGGAGGAGTGGGGATGTCTGCGGCCGACGCAGAGGGCCCTGTACCGGGACGTGATGCGCGAGACCTACGGCCTCCTGGGCGCGCTCGGTGAGGCCCCCGGGCCAGAGTCCCCCACCTCCTTCACCGGGTTCGCAGGGGAGATGGTGCAGAAGCACCGCCTGCATCGGGAGCTCTAGTCCTGCACTATTCCACCGACAGCACCGGCCACCTCCTGTTCCCAGGGCTTTAGCTACCCCCTCGGGAGTCTGTCCCACAGCAGCTTCGCTGAGGCAGGAGCTCCGCAGACCCTGTCTGAGTTGAGCCTAAGTTCAGTGGAGGTACCCTCACCTCGGCTGGGGGATGCCACCTTCCCAGGACAGCCTCTCAGGCCAGCACTGTGATCCCTGTTCTCTCCCAGGATTCCCGGGTCCCAAACCAGCCCTCATCTCTTGGATGGAACAGGAGAATGAGGCTTGGAGCTCCGCCGCCCAGGATCCTGAGGAGGGGAAATGCCTGGTTGGAGCTCTGAGAGGTGAGGGATGGTCCCAGGACTCCCCTGGCTTGGTTTTCCAGGGTTTCTGGTCTAACAAAGTTTTTTTTTTCAGGTCCCACAATTCCAGCATCCCTAAAGAAATTAAAGAGCTAAAGCCAGGCACAGTGGCACCCAAATGTAATCTCAGCAATGAAGGAGGCTGAGTAAGGAGCGAAGGTTCGAGTCCCACCTGGGCAATTTAGGGAGGCTCTCTTAAAAGTAAAAAAAAAAGAGAAAAGAGTAAAGTAAAAAGGACTGGGAGACTAGCTCAGTGGAAGTGCACCTCTGGATTTGATCCCCATTACCACCACCACCACCACACACACACACACACGCAGAGCCTATATGTATTGAGCACTTGAGGAGGAAAGCAGGCAGCCCTGTTACAAAATTTTCAGACTTGGGACAATAATCATGTTAAGACCAGAGTTGGAGGGGCTGGGGATTTAGCTCAATGGTGCCTTCCTCACAAGTGCAAGGCCCTGAGTTCGATCCCTGGTCCCGAAAAAGAAACCAGAGCTGGAGAACTAGGGGCCCAAATCCAAGACTTGGATGTTTCCAGGTTCCTCTTGGAGAATATAGCTGGCCTCAAAATGATACTCCTGCCTCAGCCTCTCAAGTGCTGGGATTACAGAGGTATGCTGGGCTATGCCATGCCATCGCACCCTGTTTCAAGGAGTGAAACAGCCTTAAAAGTGGAAGCAACTTCAGGTCTGCCTTTGAGTTTCTCAAGCAAGGCAAAGTGGTACAAGAAAAATTGTCCAGTCATCGACCACTGGGTTCTTCTGCTCTCACCGTCCTTCAGGGAGTAGTCTGGAGCAAATGTGTTTCCTCATCTGGTAAAGTCTAACTCTAAAATACCTAAATAGGAAACCACACTAATAACATCTGCTTACTAAGCATTTACTAAGCGCTGGCCATGCATCTACACTTATAATTCTCCCAACAACCTTGTGAAGTCCGGAAAGTATTTTTGCCATCTGTCAGATAAGGAAGATTTGAACTGTTTACTTCCCATCAAAGTGTGCATTTGATCACTGGGTGGTACTCTTGACACTATCTTAGGTAGATGATACTATAAAATGAAACAGTCTATAAAAAAGCATTCACTTCTTGTTTCCCAGCAGACACCCTACCCAGAAAGGAAGAACTTGAAGAGCCAGGAGAGAAGGGACCTGGAGTGACTCCCAAGAAGGAACCGCCTGAAGAGCTGGTTAAACACAGTCCGGGCTCCTCTGTCAGCAAGGCCTCGGTGACATCGCAGGCACCCACAAAAGCTGCCTGGGGCCAGATGGCTGCAGCTCAGCCTCCTGTCCCTGCACCCACTGGAGATGCTCAGGCCACCCAGCAGCGCCACGTGTGTACAGACTGTGGCCGCCGCTTCACTTACCCATCGCTGCTGGTCAGTCACCGGCGCATGCACTCAGGCGAGAGGCCCTTCCCTTGCCCCGACTGTGGCATGCGCTTTAAGAGGAAGTTCGCTGTGGAAGCCCACCAGTGGATCCATCGCTCCTGCTCTGGGGGGCGGCGGGGCCGGAGACCTGGGATCCGAGCTGTGCCTCGGGCCCCAGTCCGAGGTGACCGGGACCCGCCTGTGCTCTTCCGGCATTACCCTGACATCTTTGAGGAATGTGGGTGAATGGCCCTGGAAGGCTGGGGTTGAGCCCAACCTTGGCACTAAAGGTTGCCTACATCCTGAGGCAGGGACTTGGGAACAGAAATTCATCCTTTGGGTTTCTTTCAAGGGTCCCTCAAATTTCCAGACTTGTAAAAAGAAAAGTGCCTGCAAAGATCAAACAGGTTAAGCTGGGAATGGTTGTGCGCATCTGTAGTCCCAGCTCTCAGAGTCTGAGGCAGGAGAATCGCTTAGTTTGAGGCCTGCCTGGGCTACAGAGTGAGACCCGTTCTCAAAACAACAAAAAGAAGCCGGGCGTGGTGGCGCATGCCTATAATCCCAGCACTCGGGAGGCTGAGGCAGGAGGATCGCTGTGAGTTCAAGACCAGCCTGGGCTACATAGTGAGTTCCAGGTCAGTCTCAACTACATAGTGAGACCCTGTCTCAAAACAAAACAAAAACAAAAAGAAATGGAAGAGATTAAGCTTGACAACCTTCTTCCTATTCTTTTGTTTAAAAAAGGAAGAGAATGAGACAGTGGACTTTTCTCACAGTTACCTCAGTAGCAGGTGCAGCTGAGTGTCAGGCGCTCTTTCCCTTATGTCAGGCAACATGTACTGGCTCCTTAGTGTGTGCTGGAGAGGTAAACGCTGAGCAGGGGCTCAGGCCTGGAGGGAGGGCCCAGAGGCAGAATGTGGCCTAACCTGGTTACCTGTCCCAGCAGCTCGGGAGGGCGGGACTCTGCAGCTTGTCCAGAGGACTGCTGGTAAGTCACAAGGCCCTGAGCCTCAGTTTCTTCATCTGCAAAAGGAAGGAAGGTCAGTATCATCTACCTCAGAGGTTTGCAGTGAAGACACATCTTGGTGAGATAGTAAATGTGCAATAAATGTTTGTTATAAATAGTTTACACTTTAGAGAGAGTAAGAACGTGGCCAGGTAAACAGCTCAGTAGTAGAGTACACGGTTAGCATCTTTAGGGCCCTGGGTTCAATCTCTATCACTGGAAAAATAAAAAGGAAGAAAGAAAATGTAAAGAAGCCTTCTAAGGAGGCAGGATACAGAGACCAATGGCCTTTTTTTGCAGATATGTAAACTGAGGCTTAGAGAGAGAAAATGATGCCCCCAAAGTTTCACTGCTCTTTGGCAACAAGACTGGAAGCTGACAAAGAGCCCAGCAATTTCTGCCATCATCTCTGAAGTCAGATCTTGGCAGAAAACACAGGCCAGGGGTTTAGGACACGGATGCAGCCATCCTGGCTGGGGAGTCTGCAGAGAACTGGGAGCCTCAGCCAAGCTACATCCAGGGCCTTTGTATGCAATCCTTTCTTGCAGGGACTGTACTGAGCTGTAAGGTGCTCCACATCCTGCTGGAGAGATGGCCCTGAGGGGAAGCCCAGAGGGTCAGCCCAACCACTCAGGGCTGCTGGTGACCTGCCAGGAAATGCTTCAGAGGAGATTGCGGTGCTGCCCATGCAGGTGGAGGAACTGGCATGCGACAGGTTTTCCCGCAGAAGGAGCACAAGGGAGACTCGTTTCACAGAAAGGATAGCAGAACAGTGGACTAAGGCTGTGGCAGACCATCTGGGCTCAGACCCCAACTCGATCTGTGCTGTGCAATCTTGGGCAGATCACTGCTTGCTCAAGTCACCTTCCTGTGCCTCAGTTCCTCATCTCTAAAATCGGGATAATAATAGCAAGTAACGTAAGATTGGTGTAAAGATGACATGAAACAATGTAGCATACAATCTTGCACATTACTGGGTTTCTCTTGTTTTGTTTTCAATGCTGAGTATCAAACCCAGCCTTGAACTTGCTAAGTAAGGGCTCCACTGCTGAGCGTGCGGCACCCCTTGCTCCCCACCCTTGGACCCAAGTGATTCTCTGACCTCAGCCTCCCAAGTGCTGGGGACCACAGACGCTGTCACCATTCTTGGCTTCACATGAGTGTTTAATAAATATTGGTTCTTGTTACTGTGATGCAGAATAGTACAGAGAGATCCTAGAGGAGACTGGCCAGTCTTCTGATCAAGGAGGCCTCCGGGAGAAGATGGTACAAATGGGACTTGAAGAATAAGCAGCAGCGATGGGATCTTCCCGGACAGCGTGCATGGGACTGGGAAGCAGTTCCATTGGGCTACGACACAGAGCTGGGCATGGTAGCGCACACCTGAGTGCCAGCAATTGGGGAGGCCCGGGCAGGAGCACCCTGCATTTGAATCCCATCTCAGCCAATTAGCAAGACCCTGTCCCAAAATTTAAAATATACAACTGAAGATGTAGCTCAATGGTAGAGCACTTCTGGGTTCAGTCCCCAGGAGGAAGGTATGGAATAGTGGAAATCATGTGGCTGAGGCGAGGGGGAAAGCTCACAGGGCAGTCCTCAGCAGAACTTGGTTTACCTTCAGGCCCTGAGGATCCACATACTGTCCAGGAGCAGGAGCAGGGTGCCCTGTGGGAGGGGTCTGGGCCCCAGGGGTCTGTGGCGGTCATCATCACCTGGGGTCAAGGGCGGAGACCTGGGAGTGAGAAAGACACACAGGAGGGACTTTTGCCTTATGTTCTGCACGCCTTACCTATGAGCTGTGAACAAGCAAGATCCAAGAAAGCGTAAGCATGGAGAGCAGGAGCAAAGGAGCCCTAGTCTAGTCGAGTGTGGGTGGGGGGCAGCCAGGGCTGGGAGAGTTGAAGGTCAAGGGGTGACCAAAGAGAAGGTGGGGCTGAGGGAAGAGCAGAGCCAGGCAAAGCTGGTCAAGCGCAGCCTGCGCAAGTCACAGGCTCTCTGCTCTTTCTTTCTTATGTGCCCATTTAACAACTACCTACTAAGCATTTACCACTTATTAGTTGTTACTCTGTGTGCCAGGATATAGCAGAGCAAATGGACACAGGGATCCTCTAGGAGCTTATATTCTAGGAGGAAAGGAATAAACAAGTGATAAAATCAGAATAGCTGAGCATGAAGGTACACACCTGTAATCATATGCTGGGGAGGCTGAGGCAGGAGAATTACAAGTTCAAGGCCAGCCTGGGCTATCTAGCAAGATACTATCTCCAAAAAATGGAAAGAAACAAAAGCATAGAAAGGTACCTTATTATTTTTTTAAAGACACGGTCTCCCTGTGCAGTACTATATAGCCCAAGCTGGCCTTGAACTCATGGCAATCCTCCTGCCTCAGCCTCCTAAGTGTTGGCATAACAGGTATGTGCCACCACCTGATTAGATAAGGCACTATTGTCTTTTTTTTTTTTTTCCTGGTACTGGGGATCGAACTTGGGTCCTTGCACTTGCAAAGAAGGCACTGTAACCATTGAGCTAAATCCCCAGCCCAAGGCACTATTGTCTTAGTTACTTTTTGTTCATTGCTGAGACAAAATACCCGACACTCAAAGGAGAAAAGATGCCTGCTTCACAAGTGCAAGGTCCTGAGTTCAATACCCAGTACCAAAAACAAACAAAAATTAAAGGAGAAAAGGCTTATTTAGCTTATAGTTTGTAGCAGTTTCAGTCCATAATTGGCTGGCTCCGTGGCAGATTGGCATCACAGGGAACAGTTCATAGTGGGCAGAGAGTGGCAAAGGAACAGGGGGTGCTTAACAATGTCTTTGTGCCCCTTTGATCTTACCCAGGCTACTTAGGGCGGGCGGCACTCACACCCTCAATCCTGTGTGCTGAGCCTAGCAGTGCACCATGAATCCGTCCGGAGTCACACGAGATCCAGCTGTAGAAGCCCCACCTGTGACCGCGTGAGGCTTGCGGGGGACATCAAGACACAGCCACACCAACTATGATTACAAATAGTAAGCACAGGGCAGGGCAGTGTCCAGAGCCATTCTACATAATTTAGGGGGGGAGATAGTTTCATGATTAAAGCATGACTGCAGCTATGTAAGGCCGAATGTTACCTTGCCCTTGAGCCGGCTGTGTCCTGTGGAAATGCTCCGAGTACCTCTGGTCACAAGTTGATCCTGTGATGCTGTGCCTCTCAAGGGCAAGAGTGCTCCGGGTTCTCTGAGAACTTGGGGAGGACAGATCCCCCATCAGCCGGCTAGCTCGCCCACGTCCTGTTGTGAGAATTCTCTCCTTATTGCCCTTGTCACCAGAAGACAATCACGGACCTACGATCTTCACCAACACAGACCACCGCCGTCCTCTGGGTCACCCGGTGCCCCCTCCGACTACCGTGTGCACCCGACAAACGATCTTTCTTTCTTTAGCCCTTGTCCTCTCTAAGGCAGATCAGAGTGTCGGGAACACTTCTACATAGACTTTGGGGAAAATCATTTCATAGTTAAAGTATGACTAGAGCTGTCTAAGGTCCAATGCTGCCTTGTCCGAGAGCCGGCTGCGGCCTGCGGAAACAACTCTGTGTGCCTCGGGTCACAGCTGAGGCCTCAGTGGTCCTGTGGGGCTGTGGCGCTCTGTGGCAAGATGACACCAGCTGAAGACGTCCTGGTTCCCTGAGAACCCAGTAGTGACACAGAAGGGGAAGATCTCCCCTGGGGAGGGAGAAGTCTTCATCACCCCAGCTCTTCCCGCCTACTGAGGTGGGGACACTCTCCTCTCCGCCCTCATCACACGAGAAGTGCTGGGCACCGGATCAGACATG